GAAATGAGGCTCAAATGGAGGGCTCCGTATTTCCGGTTTCTTCCATAGAATAATATTATTTTAGACTGAATCATTTCATGGGTATGTTGTTCGGACGTGCCGTATATAGAGCTGACGATAAAGGTGTGATAGACTTGGCAAAAACTGCACCACTGAGAGGAACATATACAGGTAAAGGCTGACGTAGTGAAACAACAGTTATGATAGGTAATCTCATAAAGATCTCGTTCTTCTATGCAGGTGTGCGACCAATGGGCCTGTTCGAAGGGCTGATGCCAAGTGATGAGTTTCGCATCGGAAACTACTGCAAGTGCACACCACCGAATCCCTTTCATTTTGACCTGGAGTCAGTTGCACCATCCGATTTGTACCTTATCAGAATAATTCCTTAGAGGCACATTCCCTAATTGCCTGATTCATGGGTCAGTTCGATCCCCAATCTCAGCGGTTGTACCAATTTTGCAGCTCGACGGCAAGCGGGCTATGTGGCTGTTCATTTGTGAGGCACTGCTAGGTCGCTGCCCTGGTGAGAGTGGTGACGAGCCGCAGCGCGCGCGTAGCGGAGTTGTATTGTCTTTTGCCTCGTTCAACTTGTTAAAGGGGTCACGGGCGGACGGCCCACAATGCAACGTTGGTTGAGGACACCGTAGACTAACGCAAATCCGTTGTTCCAATGGAACTCATAGACATGATGATGCAATTCTTAAACTGCCGCGCGACTTTCCGCGTGCGACGCGGCCTGACTAGAGTCGTCCGTCTCCACACTAAGCGACGTGGCCACCAAGGCCGGAGGAGCGCCACCTTTAGAAGTGCCCCGTCTCGGCTGAGTTATGCTTGGGTTCTTATGTCTATAGACACAAATATGACGCGTTACGTCCAAGTTCTGTATGGGACCCCATCGTACTGGTAATGTGGCCGAATTCGCCGTTGTTTCATTTTATCTCTTCTGAGTAGTGTCGTAGTAGCGCTTCCTTGGATTCTCGTCCAAAAGCGGAACCTTACTCGGGGCATTTTTCACTATACTGACCGCTTCACTCCCTCCCTACCAGCTTCAACAGCACCATCGGATACCTATTCGGGTCCCACTGACCAAGAATAGCAATTGCGGAATGTGCCTTTGAGGGGACAACATACGCTCATCATATGGGCGGGGACAGAGGACCGGTCTATTTTCCTAATTGATGCTCCCACCCGGGTCGTTAGAAGGAGCACTTCAACAAGCTGAGCACGAATCCTCCGTCTCCGCCCATGAGGTCAGCATACCATGCGTTCAAATGTTGATTAGATAGGTTGCACGATAATATCGGCAAAACTATTCACTCACTACCTCTGATCAAACGCTGGCTACATCCAGCTGTGACTCGGACGGAAATTGAAGAGGACGGTATCTGTGGAACGCTCTTCTTACCACCAGGTAAGGTTTAGTTACTTTCTCATTACTTGGCGCTCCCAATTTAGTGTAGCCGATCTTGTCAAAATTACGAATTCGTTCAGGTGATGGTCCATTTCCAACGATTCTCGACATGTCTGGTACAGGCGGTGGAATTAACGAACACAAAGGAGCAACATTGTCTTCGGAAGGATTTTGTGTTTTGTCATTGGCTTTTTTCCAGTACAAAAACTTGACTGAAGATCTGAACGAAGTTGACCTGGACTATTTCAAGGTGAGCTTGGAAACTGCTTATTAGTTTTTTTGGATACCCACCGAGATGTCCACGGAGCAGAAACACCCCCACCCCCGTTACTTTGGAAATTGTAGTGATCGGAAATGCAGTCATGATCCCTGCTAACGATAGTGTGTTGCAGGGCTGATTTGGACCTCAGCCAGGACGGCTTTTTTCTTCAGTTTATGCATCCTGACCCACACAATTGGTGGAAGAGGCTGCTATGGCAGCACTTCAATACATGTCATGTCCCTTGACGCGCCCTCTGGTTTGCAGGGATTGGACTATACATACAGCCTTCTAAAAATTCCGCCTGAAAACCATGCAGTTCTGGGAAGGCCGAGCAGCTTCTAGGAATTTATAAGTTCTCTTCAGAAAGCTATCGACTGGTTGGTTTCTCAACCGTTTGCACGGAAAGAAATTGGAATACAAGGTGTTTCTTTCGGAGGACTGCTTGTCAATATGCTTGCTGTGAGGCACCCAGAGGTAAGAAACTGTGTTCTTGCCTCACTTTTCCATTGTGCTCTGGTCCCAGGAGGGACACTGTAGGACAGTATTGAGCAAAAGTCAGGCGGCTGCGAGGAATGGGGTCGTGCCGTGTCAAAAAGCTCTTAACAATGCTCACTTGTACCTTTCCTGTGTTATTTAGACTTTCCGGTGTCTTTATTGGAGTGGTTACATACAGCAGTACTCAGGTGCCTAGTGCAGGACTGAATAGCGCGCGCCATTCACGAGGCTGAAGGTTAAAGACAAACTGTGCACTCACCCCCGTGGATCCTGTTCTCTGTTATGTGGAAAGTGAGTGGATCCGCAGCTGCTGAAGCGTGCCACTTTCTGCGGTCAAAGTTCACC